AGCTCAAAGTATCTGTTCTATTATGATCACCATTTTCCTCATCATCGGAACCCCTGATGGGGGCATTTGTTGGGTGCCAGACACTGTGCTAAGTACCTTTAAGCATCACCTCAACTTATCCTGAAAGAAGGCCTGTGACTGAGGGTACTATAATCTCCATTTCGATAACACGTAAAGTGTAGGTTAAAAAATTGTCCAATGTCACACATTTAGTAAGTGGCAGAGCCAGGGTTCAAACCCAAGTTCACACCACTCCTAAGCTGCTGCATCTTGCATTTTGCAAATTACATCTTCCGAAAGTCACCAGCTAGGAAGAGGAAACACTGGCTCCGATCCTAAACCTTCAGACTCCTGGCCCACTGTTCTTCCCCAACGTGAAAGATTTGAGGAACCCCCTGCAGGAAACAAGGGCCTCTGCCTCTCCCTGCTGCTCTCGCTTGTCCAGACCCGCCATCACTTGGCTCCAGGGCCTTTGATGGTGGGAACCCAGGACTGGGAGTCCAAAGCCGAGTGAAGAATCCAGAGGAACGGCCCCTGTCCTTGCCTGACGGATTTTCATTTATCAGCAATGAGCTCAGGGTCCGTGCCTCTTCTGCCTATGAAACATTCAGCCAGACGAGGCAAAAATGCTCTGATCATACTATTCTTAATGGATTAAGACGCTAGCGAATTCTGGAGGAGGTGGAGTTCTCCAACGCTACCCTATGGAATCTGTTTTGTGACCCAGATTAGGAGTGAAAACTGCATCCGTGCACCCATGTTCTCTGTCTGGATGGGCAGTGCTCGTTGATAAGTAAAGAGTGCGGTGGGGAATGAGTAGTTTGTAACCTTCCAGTAACTGAATGTTAGTCAGAGGTAGTACCCCACTGGGAACGAGTATCTCACTGGGGTGAGTATCTCACCCAAGCTGCGAAGGTCAGGGTGTGGCTGAGGCATGAAAAGGGGAGCACCGTGTTAAGGTACACCCGCGGACTGAATACCCTTGCTCCTCACCCCGCCCCACACAGTCAGAGGCTTGCACCTCTCCCGCACCCAGCCCTTTCTACCCCCAGCGCCAGCAGGAAAATGGAGATTTAGTCTCTAGGTAAATGTAACAGAATGCACGCTGACCCTCAGGTCCCTGGGCTCAGTGGAGGGGGGTGGGGTGACACATGGGCTGAGAGTGGGATTCCGCGGAATCTGTAGAGGAGCAGCGAGGTCCCACCCCTTCCCGCACCTGCCGCAGAGCACTTCAGCCAGGCAGATGCCCTCCGGAAAGGAGCCAGACTCGTCCTTGCTGGAGATACTGAGCAGACGCCGGGAACAGACCTTCCGAGACCGGCCCATGGAGACCTTCAGTGCAGTGGCCGGCTGGTCCTCTGTTCGTCCATGCCACGGCGACATCCCCCTCCCGCCGCACGAAGCTGGTGTTCCACTCACTTGCTCGGGGATGCCCTCCATTCTTCCTCCTCCTCCCTCTGCTGCGCTCACAATCACACACCTCTATTGTCTTACCATCCTTCGAAACCCTTCCGGAAAGCTTGCTACCCTCCTCTGCAAGAGGACAATTGCGTGCTTTGTCCTTTCTCGAACTCGTTCTCTTCCACCTGTTGGCCTTGTTTCATTTGCCTTTAATAGAAACCACCAGAAAGAAACACCCTCATCTCCACCCCACCCCCAAAGAGAGAGCCGCGCCTGCCTGGGGCACCGGCTTCTTCCCTCTGCTCCCTCTGCTCTCCCTCCTCCTGCCCCCACTCAGACCCTGTGCTCCTGAAACGTCTCCCGGATCAGACATCGCCACCTCACCCTGTCTGCTCGGGCGCCCCCACCAGCAGGCAGTCTTCCATCTTTATTTATTTGTTTAACTCTTAAAATGTTTATTTTTGAGACAGAGAGGAAGACAGAGTGCAAGTGGGGGAGGGGCAGCGAGAGAGGGAGACACAGAATCTGAAGCAGGCTCCAGGCTCTGAGCTGTCAGCACAGAGCCCGACGCGGGGCTCGAACTCACGAATCGCAAGATCATCACCTGAGCCAAAGTCGGAGGCTTAACTGAGCCACCCAGGTGCCCCCAGTCTCCCATCTTTAAATGCCATTCCCTCCCTCCCATCCCTGGCCAGCTGCTTGGGTTCTGTCCCTCCTCACAGCCAGACACCGTGGCCACGCCCACCGGCCCCTTTTCTCACTTCCCACTCCCTCTTATAAACTGGTTAAAACCTCTTTCAGATTGTCTCTCATTTGTGGTTCCTGATACTCTGAAACTGGGGTGCATTTGGCTACTCAACTCCTGTGCTCTGGTTTGCGCCAGCAGGTGGTTGCCTGGGGGTGGCCCGCCGGCCTTGGGTCGTGCTGATGTGTCCACAGGACGGCTCTGCACCAGCCTCTGCTGGGGCGGGTGGGTCTCACTGGTTCCGCACTGGTTTGGGTATGGATTTCTTGGTCTCGGGTTTCTGCGCGTCGTGGACACGTGTGTGGTGTGGCTTTCCTGTGCCTCCACGTCTCTTTCCCCACCGGGAAGATGCTCAGCCACCTCACTGTGCACCCGTGACCGTGAGTGCAGCGCCTCCAGTCGCGTCAGCCACAGAGATCTCTTTGTGTGCCTGGTTCTTCCGCCACGTCCCAGGAAACTGAGTCACGGAGGATGGCTGTTCCTTTAAAGTTTGACAGGACGAGGAGTAAGGAGCAGGGACTCTGTGCTGAGACCTTGGGAGCGGCCCTGATAAAGTTTTCTGGCGAATACTGGTCCAAGAGTGGAAAGACCATAACTGAACATATCACGCTAAATATATCCCAAAAATTAAGCTATTTTTATGACTGAAAAAAGAAATCGGTATTTAGTTTCTGACGCTCTATCTTCCTCCCTCCTCCCTCCCTCCTTCCCTCTGATCGGTCCTTTGTCCCTTCTTTCCTGGGTTCATTCCTTCCCCCCTCCCTCCCTTCCTCTCTTCCTTCCTTCCCTTCTTTTGCTATTTCTTCTGTTTTCCTCTTCTCGGGGCTCAGGGGTGCAAAGTAAGCTCCACCTTCATTGCTACTAGTTTTCTCTGACAAGCCCCCTGCCCTCCTGAAAGCTTGGGGGGGATATTTGTAATTTATGCAGATCATTTCCTCAATCATTTGCCTTCTTCTTACACTTCTCTCCTCCTTCCTTCCCTCCCTTCTTTTATCTTTTAACACAGAATAACCCAAAAACCAGTGAAAAACAAGCCAAATAATCCATTAATTAATTTATTTTGAGATGATAAAAAAAAAGGGCCAAATATGACCAGGCGCCCTCTCGTGTCGGGCTCCCCTGTCCCATTACCGGGGGGCTGGGGAATCTTGTTCCCCTTCCGTTTCCATCAAAGGACGCACTTTGCTTCCATTTTAAGGGCCTCCAGAGATGGAAATGCCTTGAGTTTACTTCCCGTAACTTAATCCGTTTGGACACGAAACAGTCTTTACCCCCAGCTTCTGTGTCTGAGACCACGCCAGGCCGTACTCTCCCATCCGGGGACCGAAGCACCTTGGGGCCGAGGCTGCCTCCTCCCCTTCTCCATGTGTTGCTTGAAAAAAGCTTCATTTCCCTGATCCCTACCCCCGCCCCATTTTATTTTCTTTCTCTTCAGGAAATAATCCCTACCTCCCTCCTCATCAATGTATCATGGCTTTTTCCCTGCGGTTGGTGTATGAGGTGTCCTAGTGAAAAGCAGGAAGGGGCAGGGACTTCGTGGCTCTTTGAAAGCCTTTCCTGAGAGGCTATGAGAAGTCCAGGCCTTCTCTGGGGAGGGGGGGCCGTAGAGGACAAGGGGGGGATTTCCCACCTGCACAAGTAAGGCTCCCAAGTACACACTCCAGGTGTGTGGGAAGTGGATACTGCCACCTCCCTAGTCACATGTAGGTGACTGCTTTAAAAAAAATTTTTTAATGTCTGTTTTTGAGAGGGAGAGACAGAGCATGAGCAGGGGAAGAGCAGAGAGAGAGGGAGACACGGAATGCAAAGCAGGCTCCAGGCTCCGAGCTGCCAGCACAGAGCCCGACGCGGGGCTCGAACTCACAGACCGTGCGATCACGACCTGAGCCTTCGTAGAGCGAAATAAGTCAGGCAGAGAAGGACAGATACCATATGTTTGCACGTATAGGAGGATTAGGAGAAACTTAACGGAGGACCGTGGGGGAGAAGAAGGGGTAAATGGTGGGGGAGAGGGAGGGAGGCAAACCATGAGAGACTCTTGAATGCTGAGAACAAATCGAAGGTTGATGTGTGGTGCAGGGGGGGGGGGAAGGGAGGCGATGGGCATGGAGGAGGGCACTTGTGGGGATGAGCACTGGGTGTTATATGGAAACCAACTTGACAATAAACTATTTGTAAAAAAATAAAATAAAATAAAACCAAAGGTCACAGGCGTGGCCCACCCGGCTTTATCCCTAGAAGCACTGATATCTAGGAAGCAAAGCGGCCACAGGGTCCAGCAGGGACTCGGCCCCACGGCCTCTCTTCTGCCATCTCCTGCCGGCCTCATCGTGTTACTTCGGGATTCCTGACCCAAGATGTAAGGCCCAGGACTGCCCAGAGAGTATTCTGTTGTCCGCCCCCCACGTCTCCCACCATGCATTTGAATTTGCCTGATTTTCACGCGCACCTGCATGCCTCCATCATCCTCCAGAAAGCATTTTGAGGAAGACGTGGGAAGATGGATTACAAAATCAAAGGAGCAATTATCAGGTATGACAGCTCCCCAGAGTTTGGTAATCCCAAACCTGATCTACGTGGCCTCGATGAGAGAGAAGGACGCAGAAACCAAAAAACTCCGTGGGTGGGGACTGAGGATAAAATCATGTATTGCTGAACACCATTGTAAGGAATGCATTTTAAAAAAAAACTTGGTTTGGGGCGCCTGGGTGGTTTAGTTGGTTATGCGTCCGACTTTCGCTTAGGTCACGATCTCGCGGTTCGTGGGTTCGAGCCCCGCATCGGGCTCTGTGCTGACTGCCAGCTCAGAGCCTGGAGCCTGTTTCAGTCTGTGACTCCCTCTCTCTCTGACCCTCCCCTGCTCATGCTGTCTCCTCTCTCCTCTAGAAATAAATTTAAAAAAAACATTTAAAAAAAAAAACTTGGTTTACAAACGGATTAAATTAGGGGGGAATAATTATTTTCATTCCCTTTCTTACTTAAGAACGTCTTCGAAAGTCAGCATGGCCTAATGGCTTGGATCCTGGGCCAGGCTTCCTCTTACCAGCCAGTTACACACACTCTGTGAGCCCTGTGTTCCTCGTTAAGCTGTGAATACCTTTCTACTATGATCAAAGGCATAAGAGTTACTGGGTTGCTACTCAACACCAGTGAGGTCCCTGGGCCCCTTTAGTGAGTGATGGCCACAGACCAGACAGGGACATGCTCTGCTCACGAGAGGACAGCTTAGGCTTCAGAGTCGAGACAGTCTTGGCTGAGCCCTGTTTGAGCAACACCAGAGACCCACAGAGGAGATGGGAGGCTGGACCAAGCTTCAGCTATGACCTGCAGGAGTGATTACAAAGGCCTAACTAACAGCAAACCGTGTGGGGTGTGCCTGACAAATGATCCCACGGCCTCTGCTTGAATCTCTCCAGCATGGGGAGCTCACCACCCTCCAAGGTAGCCCTTCAGTGACTTGAAATTTGCTACCTTCTCTCCCTCTGGGCTCTCAGGGAATAAGATTGCCCCTCTTGCATGCATAGGCCGGCACCTCAGATACTTGAAGACAGTTGTTCTGTCTCCCCTTAGCATTCTCTGTTTCAGCTGCTCTTCATGAAACTTGAATGAAATAGGATCTGGGTGTCCTCGCATCTGGCATCTGGTATGCGGGTGAGGAAACCGCCATTATTAAGAAGTGCTCCCCTTGAGTGAGTGACGATGATGTCATCTTCACTGAGGAATCGGCTTGCTGTCTCCCGCCTAGAGGACCACCCACGTCCCCAGTCAGGTCTGCAGCTGTACTTAGCAGGAGTCAGGGAGGCCTGTGTTCCGAGAGATTATCCCCAGCAAGGTCCAGACTGGAAGTGAAGTAGGAACTAGAAAGATCTCGCGTTTCTACCCCTTCCTTTTTTCACTTCTTCCTAATGCCCACATGGTCACTCTGAAGTCCCCCAGCTCCCTTCTGAGATCCCATCAGGCTCTCTGCTCTTGCTTCCTCATGTAAGCCCTGGGGCTTCAGCCCTGTTACCCTCTTCTCTTGATGGCCTGCCACGGCCTCCGCAGGATTCGGTTCCTCCTCCAGCCTGGCTCCTGTCCCCGCCAGGTTTTGTCCAAATGTCTCCAGGCAAACACATGGGCTTCTGAGGCCTCAAGGACATAACTGCTCGCACCTCAGGAAGCCATCAGTACGGGAGAGTGGTGGAGGGCTGGAAGGCAGCAAGATGTCACAGTTCTAGAAACACCTGTTTCCAGATGCCCTTCTGAGACGGAAAATGGTAACTGCACTGGCTTCCATCCTCTTATTCCAAGGGGGAGAATCCTGCCTGATCCTGCCTGATCAGGCAATCAGGGCTAGAAAAATCACAGAGGCAGGAAAATGGCAACCAGGGAGCCTGGAAACATTCTGCATCGCAGGGTGGCCAGCCAGCGTCAGGGGCCATAACTGTGGCCAAGCAAAACAGGGGGTGGCATGGAGCGGGCTACTCAAGGACCTCAGTAGAACCAGTGCATCGTGAGCCAGTGGCTCTAACTTCCTAAGAAATTCTGCTTCATGCTGACCTGGCCCAAGTTGACATATTTTTACACACAATAGGTGGGGGGGTGGGGGGCGGCTGCTGGTCCTTAGATGTCAAAGGCATAGACATGACTCCTTCTCACTGTCCTTCACAGACAGAAGAGACCGTGTCTCTTTTCTCAGCCAAAGGCCACACACGAGGTAAATACATATATACATATGTATATGTATGTGTATTATATACATATATATATATATATATATATATATGCCCACAGTAGCATATCATCCATGTGCTTATTTTTTATCTGGAATTAGGAAACTTTTTGGCTTAAGGAGAACAATTTTTGTGTTAGAAAATGTTGAATATATTTAAATAAAAGATACTGAATTTGGATAGAAAATAAAAAATTATTTTGTGAATATACCCTAACATTTGTTCGTAGAAACAAAGATTTGTCTTAGAAGCTTGAAAATAATAGAGTGCCTGCTTCACTAGACCTTTTTAAACCTCTCTTACAGGGGCGCCTGGGTGGCTCAGCCGGTTAAGCGGCCGGCTTCTGCTCAGGTCATGATCTCGCGGTTCGTGGGCTCGAGCCCCGCATCGGGCTCTGTGCTGACAACTTGGAGCCTGGACTCTGCTAGGGATTCTGTCTCCCTCTCTCTCTACCCCTCCCCCACTCACTCTCTGTCTCTCAAAAATAAACAAACATAAAAGAAATAAATGTCTCTTATAAACTAGAAAGTAAAGACTGAAAGTTACATGTGAATCCTGATTCTGCCATGTTTCTTGAACGAATTGAAAATGAGGACAAATGATAGAAAGGTGCTCCTTCCTGTTATCTTCCTAGAAGCCGTTTCCTGTTAAAAAAAAAAGAACCTCATGAAGCATAAATCCCATAACGTAAGGCGAATTTCCTTCCCTTTAACCACACGTCAGAAGTACTTGCATTCCAAAATTCAAAAGTGACCTCCGGTGTTCCCTCAACTAGAGCAAGTGTATCCAGGAAATGTGCCCGGGCCGGGCCTGTGTCTGCGGGGGCTTCTTCGCAGGATGTGGGAGCGTGTCACAGACAGCAGCAGGCAGGGTCCAGCAGGGAGAGCTTGGGGAATGCGGGCGTGGCCCGCGTGGGCATATGTGCCTCCCGTGCAGTGACGTGCACCATCAGGCACACATGTATATGCATAAATCCATCGATGTCGATGCTTTATGTTTACGTCTGTGGATGCACACGAATTTGCACACCAACTGTCTATTAGGAACCTACCATATGTTTCGAACCAAGTATTTCAGGAAACTTTGAGTCACTGCTTTCGAGGCATTCACAGTCTGCTTAACACTTGGTAAAACAAACATCCTGAGCAAGGGGAGTGGGCAGAAGCATGTGGGAGGCGGCGGCACCAAGGCCCCGCCTGGCATCCCCCGCTGGAGCAGAGAGAGGAGAACATGGGAAGTGGCAGGAGAAGGAAGGCTAGAGGAGGGGCCGTGGGGAGGAGGTGCTGGCCTCTCTGAAGACAGGTGACACCATCTCTGGTCCTTGCTGCCCCAGACGGGACAGCATCCCATCTCCCAGGGCTGATCTCTCCGCTGGGCTCGGAAGCCCAGTCCCTCCACGTCCAGGGACCACCCTCTATTAACGTTCCTCGTCATTCAGAGTGGTTATCAGTTTGTCTTCCTCGCGTCCTTACCCCGTCCCTGTACAGACCCATCATGCCTCCCCATGCTGTGTCCCTCGTGCTCTTCCCTCTGCTTCCCTTCCCAGCCATGCTTCCTCGCACCCTGGCCCCCCTTCTGTGGTCCTTCCTCCCCGCCTTTCGTACCTTCACGGAGTCTGAGCCCATCGGCCTCTGCAATCTCCACCCCCGCCCTGCGTCCGCGCTGGCCTAGGTCACCCCCGGACACCCTCCACCCTCACGCTAGCTGGCCCCTCCTGAGCATCCGCCACCCTCCACAGGGCCTCCGCTCAGCACCCCCCCACCCTCCCTTGGCTCCGGAGATAATACTGTCTCCTGGCAGCCTGCTCTCTGGCTGATTCAGGGCTCTGCATCCTTCCTGGGCCTTCCGTGCTGGGCTCTGTCCATCCGCCCTCCATCGAGGCCACCTCCAGTCCAACCTCACCAACGCCGGCGGCTCATCAGAAGGAGCTCCTGGGAACTTTTTAAATATACTGAAACTAGGACCCATTGTGCAGCAATTGATACAGAATTTCTGAGGATGGGGTTCAGATCTCTCTCTGCTTTTTTTTTTTTTAAAGCTGCCCCCGCTGATTCTGATGGGAGTGACCGGTGGAGACCTACTGCCCTTCAGGCTTCATCGGGTCCCGGCCCCTTCCAAACGGTTATGTCCAAGCCTGATTTCTCCTCTGATCTCCCAGTTGTGTGTGTGACTTCCTGCTTGTTACAGCTACTGGGATCTCCAACTGGCTCCTCACCACAAAAGACTCAGAACAAGCCTTTCCTTTCCCTCCGCCTGCCCCTCCTTGCGTTCCCCCCCCCACCCCCAGCTCGCTGAATGGTATCAACGTGTTCTCGGTTCAGCCCTGGGCTTGCCTCAGACTCTCCACCTGCCCCCACACATCCACTGACCACCAAGCCCTGTGACTCATTTTTAGCCTGCCTTTTAATTACTCTTTAAGCACTTCTAGAATTGGATCCTTCTTTTTCTTTTTTTCCTAAGTTTCTTTTTATTTATTTTTCAGAGAGAGATACAGAGCGAGCGGGGGAGGGGCAGAGAGCGTGGGAGACAGAATCCCAAGCAGAATCCGCGATGTCAGCGGGGAGCCCCACGTGGGGCTCAGACTCACCTGAGCCGAAATCAAGAAGCTGATGCCCAGCCGACTGAGCCACCCAGGAGCCTCACGGATCTTTCTTCAGGACCGTGCCTACCTCAGGCCAGGCCCCCAGCCTGTCTCACCTGAGCTATTAAACAGCCTCCAACATGGCCTCCTTCCCCCCCAGCCTCTTTCCCCTCCAGGCCTCCCGCACAGCCAACGTAGGGATGCCTCTGACCCTGCTGATGTCCAGCCTCCTGGTTCCTGCCCCCTGCCTGCATCCGCCCCCACCTGCTTTGGGATCCCCCGTGTCCCCTGCGGTTCCTGCGTCTCCTGCCTGTCCCCGGCTGCCCCCTCTGTCTGGACAGCTTCTCTTCTATCTTCTACTCAGCCTTCACACCCACACAGAGATGACCCCTTCCTGAAGCCTTTCATGATGTCTCCCATCTCCCTGTGGAGTTGTGTCCTAACACTGCCACCTCCCCAGGGCAGAGAGACATCACTTATCCCGGAGCCTAGTAAAGTGGGGCCTTCCTTGGCCAGAGTGGGTCCTCAGGAAACGTTGGCCAAATGAACAAATGAATGAATCCATGGAGAGGAGTCAGAGGACAGTGGAGTGTGGGTGTGGCCACCGTGGAGGAGACTGAGAAGGAAACGCTAAGCCCGGGTTGAGATGCCCAAGATCATCCCACCGTGAAACATACTAGACTATCTGTTTTGTGTTCTGCAGCCTAACCGGGTGTTATGAAAGCGCAAATAGTCCTCTACTATCCTGATACATAAAATGGGGACAATAGTATCCATTTAGCAGAAGTGCCATGGGGATCGGAGAAGGTAATGGAGGTGAATGTGCTCTGAAAATTATAAATGCTGTTCAAACATGAGTGATGGGTATCCCGTGATGTCGCTGGCGGAAGTCTCCGTGCCAGTGGCTCACAGGATGTCCAGTGTGGAAAGGTTGCATGTAACTGATGTCATGGTAGCTCTGTCTGCCTGGCAAGGTCCCCGGGGAGGGCAAATCTGCACTTGAATCGGTCGCCTTCGCACAGTGACAAATCCCTGTGGTTGGAGAGGAGGATGCGGGGTTTGGAGTCCAGCTCCTTAACTGACCCGAAGGCCCACCGAGGAGTCAACATGATGCCCTTCGGTGCACACGACGAGGAGTTCTGCTCTCTCGGCCTGTGGCTGACAGCCCGCAGGGCCTTAAAAATAGCTCTGGGAGGCTATTTTTAGCACACCATCCCGAGGCGTGGCTGGAGCCCGTGGCCTCCTGTGACGCAGGAAAATTGTTTTGGCGCTGTTTGCCAGTGATTCAGACAGCTGGTTTTGGGCTTCGGGGATGTAAAAATAAAAACAAAGTAGGGGAGTCTGGGTTCCAGCCACAGGGCACCCCCACCCCCACAACATCTGAATAATTGCTCATTAAGAAAGCTTCATTTGAGCCTTGGTTCTCTGGAGGTACCAAAATCACAGCTCTGCCTGGAGGGCTTCGGCCAGAGGGCAGAGCAAGGAGCAGAGTAACCCATTTTTCAGGTCAGAAGAAGGGGAAGCTGTGTGAGCTTCCCACCGCACCCGGGTCCCCAAACTGTACATGGCCGGGCCGCCTTTGGATCCATGTGTAATTCTAAAGCCCCTGGGGTTTTGCCAATCTCCGGACTCCACGACCATTGTGAAGCCTACAGAGCGTTTCCATAGACAGCATCTCCCTGGCTCCTCTTACGAGGCAGTATTATTATTCCAATTTTACAGGTGAAGAAATTGAGGCTCAGAAAACAGAGTGACCACCCACCTTCTCACGCCTGGTGAGTCCTCAGGACACAGCAGGGCTCTCAGACTCCAAATCCCTCACTTGGTCAGGGTGAGCCTTCCCGGGAAGCTCTCCTTGTGAGGAGGGAGGCTGTGGACACAGATCCTGTGACACCTGGAAGGTTGGAAGGGACAGATATGTCCATCTGCCCATCCTCGTGGGTGCCTCCCAGGGACTGGGAAGCAAAGGCAGAGCGCGCCAAGCGGGCCCTCCTGGAAGAGGCGGGCAGGGCAGACCATGGGCTCCCCCACTGGCTGGTATCCTGCTGCTCCTGGGAGAGCCCATCGGGCACCCAGGAAGCAGCGAGCACTGTAACCGGAGCCACGCAGGGGTGGTCCAGTCACTTCTGCTCCCACTTCAGCTCCCCATGTGGTGAGTCAAGCTTCAGTCCCCGGTTATCCAGAGAAGCGGGATGCCCAATCGACTTCGGATGGAGGAATAGCTAATCAAACCTATTGCCCCATGGGGCTACCTCATACTCTCTAGGATCAGCAATGCCGTGGACTCGGAGAACATGCCGTCTGCTGCCCCTCATCACACATGCTCGAAACACACAGAAGTAGGAGAGTCTAAGCCGCATGAATACCGCAGTGCAGAGCTGTTTAATGTTTGGTGACCGTCACTTAGCCTAGGTGTGTCCTTGCATGTGTAAGGATGTATACAAATTTACACAAATGGGAAAACACTGTACAGGATATGAAGACTTTTAATTTGCTTTAAGTAGTCAATCACACCCACCAATACAAATCTGCATCATTGTAACTACTGTGCCCACTTCCGCTGTACAGATGCACCTTATTTCAATCAGTATTCCTTTTTTTTTAAATGTTAATTTACTTTTGAGAGAGAGAGAGAGAAAGTGGAGGAGGAGCAAAGAAAGGAGACACGGAATCCAAAGTGGGCTCCAGGCTCTGAGCTGTCAGCACAGAACCCAACACGGGGCTCAAACCCACAAACCGTGAGATCGTGACCTGAGCTGAAGTCGGATGCTTCATCAACTAGCCACCCAGGCGCCCTTAATCAGTATTCTTCTGATTGCGGTGTGCATTGGGTTTCATATCTTGATCATCTCTTACCACCCTTAAATCATGCATCTTAGTCAAAATACCCCAAAGCGCACACTTTAAATTACCTAACAGAGAGGAGGAGCACTGGGTGTTGTATGGAAATCAACGTGACAATAAACTAATTAATAAAAAAAAAAATTACCTAACAGAGATTAGCCTTCATTTTGCCCCACCATTACAGTGCTACTTATTGGCAGAAAAAGGAAAAACTTTAGAGATACATGAAGAGAGTCTTTTTAAATGCAAGAAGCCCTGTACTATCTTCGTAATTCTGACTGTCACTAAGCTGACTTGATGAAATGCCAGTCTTATTTTAGGGCCTTATCGTCCCTAGATGTCACCCATCTGAGCCATTCCAGCTACCAGAGGGACAGGAGAGAAATGCTGTAATCCCTCGATGCTGCTGAAGCTCGTTTCCACCACCTGTTGCTTGCAGCTCCACCCCCTCCCCCCACCCCACCCCTTCCCCCCACCTACCCCCCCACCCCCCACCCCCCGCTAGTAGCCTCCTAGCCTCTGAGTTCACTTCCCTTGCAAAGTTATTCTTTAGGGCCAAATGCAATGATGTATGTGAAAGCAATTCTTTTTTTAAAGGCTATATACACCGCAAAAAGATTGTTTTATTAACTCTTGGGAGTAGCCAGTGGCTGCTAACCTTTTTCAACTATAAGCCTGCCTTTTTAAAGTGAAAAAAAAAAAATGTCCCTGAGTCCCGACAAATATCTATGGAGCATCTAGTCCATGCCGGCCTTGAACGAGGTGCTAGGAGTACAGCGATGGTCACCGATCTGTCTTTCCTGGCGCTGGCCTTCCCACAGCTGAGAGTCATTGCATAATCGTGTCCCTTGTAGGATCCGCTGAGCAAGGAAAGCGCATGAAGCCTGGTGTGAATTTAGAGCTATTTTTAAATGAATGTTTACTTTGTTACTTACAGTCGTAGCTCTGTTGTACACTTGAAAAACTATGCATATTTGCAAAACATAGCGCCCCTTAGTCAGAGATAATGCTTGATTTATAAATGGATTTGTAGACCCCTTGCAATAATGTTGAGCCTTCCGCTCCCTGCCCTCCACAGCAGTCCAGAATTCTGTGGCCCCGGGCCTGGGGCTCTGAAGGGTTGTACTAAATTTCTAGACACTTCCTGCTCATTCATGGAATGTGACACCTGTTTGAACACTTTTTAGGCCCGGATTCAAGCCTTAACTTCACCCCAATCTTTGGAATTGTAACAGCTCTGCAGGGAAAAGATGGTGGAATGGCCATAGAAAAGCCTCAGGATACCAATTAGGAGGCTAAAGGCAGGAGGTCCTCAGTCCCTGGGAGATGTCGGTGAGAGGCACTGGCAATGGGGCTTTGAGGACTAAGCCCCGTTGTGACCAAAGCAGCCTTGTTGCTTATTTTGTCCTTAATTCTATTTATGGATTTTAAGAGGGTCCATCGGGGTATGATAGCCTTTGGATAGCTCTTATAGGCAACACAGAGGAATAAGAGTAATCCTCAAAGAGAACACGTTTGAGGTAGCCCCATGGACCACAAAAAGTTGAAAAGGACCTCTGGGATTTAGATTCCAGGATTTTATATGTGGGAAAAACTGAAGTTCTGTACAGAGAGAAGAAGTGGCTTGCCCAAGTTTACAAAGAACTCCATACTCGTGACTTCCTGCCTAGGTTTTTTTCTTACCATGTCACCTGCTTTATCAAGCCCATCCCAGACATCAAGACCTGGGATGTATCCACCCCAACAAATTTATTCATGAGTGAATTAATTCAGTACTTACTGAGTCCTTCCCTCCTCTGAGCTGGGAACTTGTTAGCAACCGGGGACAGAATAATGAATAGGAGGGAATCGGGGTCTCAAGGGTCTTACATTCCAGCAAGGAGAACAGAAAATTAAGCAGGCAATTAGCGTAGGCTGTGGCAATGGCCCAACATAGGGATACCAGAAGGCTCTGGGGACGATTGCCGGGAAAGGAGGTGATAGTAGAGAAAGACATTGAGTGCTCTGTCCCAGCACCCTTAAGTAATATCTGAACAGGGTCTTCAGGGTTGACTATGAATTAGGGAGGGGAGGTCAGGAAGCTTCAGGCACAAATGCAGCATGTTAAAAAACCTGAAATAAGAGCAAGCTTGGGATATGAGTAGTCGGTGCATCAGTATAAGAGAACAAGAAAGAATATGGTTGCAGCTACAGGTCAACAGGAGTCAAGTTGGAAGGATTCTGTAGACTAGGTTAAAGAGGCTTGGAATTTTGGGACGCCTGGGTGGCTCAGTGAGTTAAGCCTCCGACTTCGGCTCAGGTCATGATCTCATGGTTTGTGAGTTCGAGCCCAACGTCAAGCTCTGTGCTGACAACTCAGAGCCTGGAGCCTGTGTCTTACCCTCTCTCTGTCCCTCCCATGCTCATGCTCTGTTGCTCACTGTTTCTCAATAATAAATAAAAGGTTTTAAAATTTTTTTAATAAATATATAAAAAGAAGCTTGGAATTTTTTATCCTGAGGTCTAGGGAAGTCATGGAGGGACAATGGTGACCCATCAGATCTGTGCTTTAGAAGATAGCTTTGCAGCACCTGGATGGCTCAGTCCATTAAGTGCCTGACTTCAGCTCAGGTCATAATCTTGCAGTTTGTGAGTTTGAGCCCCACATCGTGCTCTGCACTCTCAGCATGGAACCTGCTTCAGATCCTCTGTCTCCTTCTCACTCTGCCTCACATTCTCTCTGTCTCAAACATAAATACACATTTAAAAAGGGGGAGTACTCAGGTGCCTCAGTCGATTGAGTGTCTAACTTCAGCTCAGGTCACGATCTCATGGTTCATGAGTTCAAGCCCCATGTAAGGCTCGGTGCTGTCAGTGCAGAGCCTGCTTTGGATCCTCTGTCCTCCTTTCTCTGTCCCCCCCTTTGCTTGCACTGTCTCAAAAATAAGTAAACACTAAAAAAAAAAAAAAAAATGGCTTCGCATGTGTGGAGAATAAATTAGAGGCGAGCAGAGGAAAGTAAGCCCGGCAAGGAGGCTGGGGAGCCTTACAGTGTCCAAGCAACAGTGATGGTGGCAGAGGGTGGAGGGCAGATGTAACAAACAGATATTTAAGAGGAAGACCCAAAACGCCTTTGTGAGTTATTGCAAGTCGATATTCATGAGAGAAGCCCCATAATTCCTTGCCCATGAAACGTAAAATCCTCTACTTAGTAAGATAGGCTTATTGGTTCACCTAGAAGCCTAACACAGAAAAATGTGTAAGCCCCCTCAGGGACATGGCTCTGGCCACCTCTGATGGCCTGATCCCACTCGCTTCAGGCCTTGAACCCTTGGGGTTTTGCATGCCTGCACATCTACATCATGAGTTCAGCTCCCAGAGCACTCATCAGGGAGTCTTTCATGGAGATAGCTAGTACTGACATTGCAACAGATGGGAGAGAGCTCCCAGATACAGAGAGAGAGCCAGAGTTATATACAAATTTTACACATGTACCTGATACTTATATTATATATCATATATCATATGTATAAAACTATGAGCCTTTCAGAGGACAACTCCTAGGAAAATGAGAATGAGTCACTAACAATAGTCTGTCTATCATCCCGGAAAATCCCCTGTGTTGGCCTCGAGGATAAGCCTGAGATTAAATCTGCACTTCAACCTTCCATCAGATGTGGGGTGCCTGAGACCACAAAGGAAGAGCCTGGCAGGCAGTTCGAGTTGAGCCAGAATAAATAAATACATAGATACATACATACATACATACATACATAAAGTGGCAAGATATCTATAAATCAGGGCAGGTGTATTTTTGAGATAGCTGAACATATTGTAAACAAATGATAAGGACATGACGAGCTGAGCTTAAGGATCCTTAAGGGCACTCAGCCAATAGGCTGTGTAAGACAGAAAGGGCAGGTCTTAGAAACAGCGCATGAGCAGTACTGTGACTGACCATCTTGCTGATGTCTACACTCCCAGCATATTGCTGCCGGGCCCACAGGCGACATGGAACAGGAATGAGTCAATAATGAATAATTACTTAGTAGAGCAAATACACCATACTTACAAGTTCGATAAGGTCAACACTGACTTTGGCCCTCTGGAATTTGTGGAAGGGTCCTTGGAAGGGCAGGTTCAGGTATACTATCTGACAGGATGAATTAAGCTGAACAAAGTCCCTTGATGCTGATGGGAGCCATCTATGAGCTACTGGGGCCTCTCCCAAGCTTCCAGGGGCTGGGATTCTAGACAGGCAATCCAAGAAGAGCTAAAGGAATCCCAGGCTCCCAGAGTTTCTGGATCTTGTAAAGAAGATCTCCTAAAAATGGACCCCTTTGGGCATCCATCAGGCTCTTAGCAAGACACCAAGGAAAGTGTACTTCCTGCTTTGCCTGGAAGGAGACACATTATATCCGATGGTGGCTGTGGGTGAGTGAGCCCACACACAGGAAGCAGGATGTCTGTGTGTGCACGCGGGCACTCACAAGTGCTCACAGGGCTGACACTCTGCAATTAATGAATGTATTAAAAATAAGAACTCTATGTCTACCTGAGGTTTGATTTAAATTCCCTTCTTGAGCTCTGGTAGAAGAGGTCCAACGCTTAATGGAGTTCAGCAGCACCCTTTCCCACGAACAAAAGAAATAACATCTAATTAGCGGCAGATTTGGAGACCAGATCCTCCTGCCTATTAGGACTGTGAGAAAATATTAAAAACCAATCTGAATGGGAACCTTAAAGGCTGGATTTTCACAGTTTGGGGTTTACTGCAGAGGACTTGCTTCTTTTTGGCTTGTCAGTTGAATGCTGAATAGAGAGGGTATGAGTTGATAACTTTCAAATAAAGATAACATTACCATTGTGGGGAAGTGAACATCTACATCATTAGATGTACATGGAAAGTTCCCACCAAATAAGCACAAACGGAGGGAGTGAAGTTAGGGAAGGAGGAAGGGAGTTCATACAGTATTTAAAAGGCGTATCATTTTGGCTGAAAGGGAACAGGTGAAAAGAATTCAAGGACTCCTCATTCATTCGTGCATCCATTCATTCGTTGTCAAAACTCTATTTAGGGGCGCCTGGGTGGCTTAGTTAGTTGAGCGTCCGACTTTAGCTTAGGTCATGATCTCACGGTCCGTGGGTTCGTGCCCCGCGTCGGGCTCTGTGCTGACTGCCAGCTCAGAGCCTGGAGCCTGTTTCGGAGCCTGTGTCTCCCTCTCTCTCTGACCCTCCCCTGCTCACACTGTCTCTCTCTCTCCTAGAAACAAATTTTAAAAATATTTTTTAAAAAACTCTTATTTAATAGACTGTAATGTCTGCCATGTGTCTGTCAGGTACTAACCTGAGAGCTAGTTGCACAGTAGTGGATAAATCCTGTTTGGTCCTTGCTCGCATGGAGCTTATAGTCTGGAAAGGAAAGGAGAGACTTCAGATGAATAAAACAGCAAGTGCTATAAAAAATAATCAAAATGCAAAAGAGAGAATAACAGGAAATGCCCACTTTGGATTGGGCTTCCCCTTGGGGAGGATTACATTTAAGCTGACACCTAAAAGCTGAGATGGATTCAGTCATGCCAACAGCTTGGGGAAGGGAATGCTGGCAGAGGGAACGGCGTCTGCAGTGACCTCAAGCAGAGAAGAACTTGGCATTGGGAGGAATCAAAGGAGAGGACAACGCCCCGAGAGCATGGAGAAAGGAGAAACAGGAGATGAAAGAGAGAAGGAAGAGAGACCAGAAGGCACAGGGCATATGGACCGCAGAAAACAGTTTGGATTACATTCTGAGGGCACAGGGAAGTCACAGTGGGTTTTACTCAGAATAGAAGCATCATGAGGTTTAGGTTTCTCAGCATCTGGTCGCTCTGTGAGGAATGGACTGCAAGAGAGAGTCAAGAGTGGAGGGAACGAGAACAGGGGGGTAGTTACAGGGGTTCAGAGGGGAGAGGGAAGGGGGGCCCAGCAAGTGCATCCAGAGGATATTTTGAGGCTAAAATGGGCATGATCGGGGTTGCTTGCACATACGGGTTGGGAAGAGGACAAGATCAAGAGTGACTCTGGCGCTCCATCTGGGCAAATGCTTCTTTATTTGTTTAATTCAGGAAGAAGAGGGACATGACGTCAAACCTGGGAAAATAAAGAATAGCATCATTGCAACCAGGATTAATGAAGGAAATGCTAGCTGTGTGGCCAGCCTGCAGCAGGTAAGAAAAGGTTTCACAAGGCCTGAGTGTTTCCCATCCTTTCCACGTGACTGGGACTGCCTTTCTGCTTACTGGACTGATAAAGTAAACAAAAGAGAACAATAGCTGAGGAAAATGAATCGTGTACTACGTGGATAGTGATTAAAATGAGATGGGTTGTTCTTTTAAACGACTTTCTGCCTACCGGATATCTTGGGGGAAAGATCATTGCATGATGAAATTTGGGAGCCCAAGTAATGGGAGAAGGTATAATTAACCAGCTAAAGAACAGAAACTTCCACAATGAGGGGTGCTTGGGTGGCTTAGTCAGTTGGGCTTCCGGCTTCGGCTCAGGCCATGATCTCAGAGTTCGTGTGTTCGAGCCCTGCATCAGACTCTGTGCTGACAGCTCAGAGCCTGGAGCTGCTTTGAATTCTGTGTCTCCCTCTCTCTCTAATCCTCCCCTATTCATGCCATCTCTATCTCTCTCAAAAATAAGTAAAACATTTAAAAATTTTTTTTAACTTCCACAATGGGAGCCTCAAGACAGAAAGAAAAAAAATCATAACAGAAGAGGAAAATGGAAAGATGATCTCAGAGGCAAAAGCCTTCACAGGATGTGAAAGAAAGGAAAGGAAAGTCTGGAAAGGTCATCAGCAGAACCTGGGTAAGAAAGCCTCGCTGTGGGGTGCCCGGGTGGCTCAGTCGGTTAAGCGTCTGACTCTTAATTTCAGCTCAGGTCATGATCTCCTGATTTGTGAGGTGGAGCCCCGCATTGGGCTCTGTGCTGACAGCATGGAGCCTGCTTGGGATTCTCTCTCTCCCTCTCTCTCTTTCTCTGCTCCTCCCTCATCTGTGCTCTTTCCTCTCTCTCTCAAAATAAGTAAACATTGGGAAAAAGTGAAAAGAAAAGAAAAGAAAAGAAAAGAAAAGAAAAGAAAAGAAAAGAAAAGAAAAGAAAAGAAAAGAAAAGAAAAGAAAGCCTCGCCAGCCCAATACAGAAGGCAGGGGGGAAATCAGATGGCACATCGATGCCTTAGGGGACAAGGAGCGAATGTAGGAACAGTGAGCAAAATCGGCAGGTGGCATCCTGGGTGACCAGGAGTCCACAGCTGGCCCTGCTGCCTCACTCTGCCCCAGGGAGGGAAGGGGGGCTTTCGTCACCGGGATCTCAAAAGGAACTGAAGAGCTTCCGTGCTTCCTGTGCCCCTAATCCTCACCCTTTTGTGCCCTCCTGCCCCACAGAGCCAGCACCCAGCCAGAGCCCTCCCACTGCAAGCTGGGCTCCCCTCCCATGCCTTGGCTGAAGGGCTTCCATCGTCTGCTATTGTCACTGTCAACAACATTGACCAGTACCGATTCTATGAGATGCAGAGGATGCACAGGTGAGTGAGTGGCAGCAACTGACAGCCCTTCAGAGACACCGTGCCAAAGGGCTCACCCGGCCTTTAATTGGCATCAACTAATCAAGACAGGCTTGCTTCAGGGAAAGAAAAACAGAGCTGACTGATGGAAGTATCTCACCTCAAGAGGCAGCTTGGTGCTGGACAGAAGTTGTGCCTGTCTCGGGCATTGAGGGAGGCCTCCAGCTGAGAGATAGTAGGATGTCCAGACCCTCGGCCCTACAAACTGCAAGGAGATGAATTCTACCAACCACAGTGAGCTTGGAAAAGGATTCTTCCCCAGTCAAGCCTCCAGACTTGCATACAGCCTGGCTGACACCTTTTTTATTATTATTACTTGAGAGAGAGAGAATCCCAAGTAGGCTCCATGCTCAGCATAGAGCCCAACCTGGGGCTTGATCCCATGACCCTGGGATCATGAACTGAAATGAAGAGCCTGACACTGAGCCACCCAGGCACACACCCCTCCCCTCCCCCAGCTGACACCTTCAATGCGCCTTGTGAGACCTCAAGCAGAGGATCCTGCTGAGCTGAGCACAGACTCCTAACCCAAAGAAACTGGGAGATGACCCGTATATTCTTTTAAGTTGCCATCTTTGTGCTAATTTGTCACATGGCAATGGATAACCAATGCAGCTTCATAGATGTTGGGACAACTAAATGAAATCCTGCTCAGAGTCTGACACATATTAGGGCCACAGTGGTGTCAGCTATTACTAGTATACCCATCACACCTTTGTGGTACCAGAGACCAACAGGAGAAATCCGTGGCCTCAGTCCTTTGGGGAAGGCCTCCCGAGAAAGCAGACCTTGAGGTAAGTAGTAAAGAAGAGTCAGACTTCAGGGGTGCTTGGATGGCTCAGTTGGTTAAGCGTCTGACTTTGACTGGGGTTGTCATCTCACAGTTTGTGAGTTTGAGCCCCGCATTGGGCTCTCTGATCCCGCTTCAGATCCTCTGTCACCCTCTCTGTTTGCCCCTCCTTTGCTCTCTCTCTGTCTCTCCCTCTCTCAAAAATAAACATTAAAAAAAAGAGTAGGACTTCAATAACCATGAGAAGATGGTGTGGAGGTGGGAGAATGGGAGTGTGGATGAAATATTATGAGGGGGGCAGTACAGGGGTCGGATTATATGGCAACTGAACTTCATCCATTCATGTACTTAAGGCTACTCCTGGGAGCTGTGGAAACAAAGGTCCAGAGGTCCACCAACTTACAGGGAAACACAGTACTTATAAGTATGTGTCTTGCACAGAAGAGGAAAATGTGCTAAGGGCCTTCAGACCCAGAAAAAGGAGTGACTGCTACAGTTCTGGACAAGAAGCTTAGGTCTAATGGAGGATCTATACAAGAGGAGGGGGAGAGGTGGTCGAAGACTTAGGGAAAGGTCAGCTGGGCGTCATTGTCCTCCAGCACACCTTTGTGTGAATCAGAAAACCAGGCCTCTGTGACAGGGCCAATTAGAAAAGACACACCTTGGGCAGCTGCAGCCCTCTTGGCACTAGACTGGTCAGGCAGAAGGTATCTTCATGTGAAGTAGAAAAGATGGCCCTTTCAATGGAGGGCAGATGTAGCCCCATGCCAGGGAGCAGCCTTGGTAAATGGAGTGTGGGCTAGACTTCAGCTCCTGCTTTCTGCATTCAGTTGGCTCCTTTGTGCAGGGCATTCACTGTGTAGCTATATATCAGGGCCCTCCTAGGCCAGATGGGCAGACGCTCTGGAATTAGGAGCCTGCCCCCTACAGTCCTACGTCTAAGACTAACGGTGACTGTCCATCTGTCCCCTGCTCATGCACAGTTATGCAAAGTTCTCTGTATATTGCATGTCTTGCTCCAGCCAGATGCCAGGTCTATGAAGGGAGTCAGGCCATGTGCTTTCTCCTCCTGCAGTCTGACCTTCTGACACTGTTTGCTCTGAGCGGATGAGAATCATGTCCTGGCATCCCTACAAGGTCCAGCCCAGGGTGAGCTCAAAGAGCCCTTATTGCCTCAGATGGAAAAATGCAGGATGATCCAGAGTCACTTGTGGTGGGAAGGGCAAAGTCTACCCAGGCTAGTGAAAGGACTAGTTGATTACATTTTTTTCAAGTCCCAACCGCGAGAATCAACAGCATTCACTTCCAGACACCATCACAGGAATCCATGGCCAGTTGGCTGGTTATTCCAGACTCACAGAGCACGGGAACACTGAAAGGCTGGATGGGAACGAATGCCTGCCCACTTACAAAAACACTTGCTGTTTTTAGAGACTGAATCAGCTTCTTTAGTATCTGCAACAACGTAGGCCAGTCTGGGGGCAACTGTGTGGTGGCCTTCACTTCCAACACTTACCTGTCTCCCTACAGCTCCCCCTCACAGCCTTCTTCAAGCCAACTGCCAATGTGAAAGACCCATCTAGGTTCCGCCCCGCACTCCCCTCCCAATCCCTCCCCTCCCCAGGATTCTTTCTCTAACAGTCTTAAGCTTCAGAAGGAAATTCTTCCAGTGGATATAGAGCTGCTAAGACTAGATCACTGGTTTGTGGACAGGCAGTTAGAGACTGAACCGGCCTTAATAATGCAGAGGTTAATAATTCGCCTTAATTATTCATATTAACCTTAGTCATTCAGAGGTGCCCTTGCAGTAACAGACTGTGAAGAGTTTATTCATTTAACAAAGACTGATTATACTGACTGCTGCATGGACAGCAGCAGTTACCAAGTTGGGAAAGACAAAGTCCCTACCCCCCATCCGTAGGTCTTTGAGACATGGGACAGGGGACCCAGTCGTTATGAAACGACACAGAACACAGAAGTGAGACAGAAGAGACACCGCAAAGAACGTTAAGGCCTCGCATGGGTTGACTAAGAAAGCTTCGTGGAGAAGAGGACATTTGAGGTAGAGGGATGGGTAGCCCGTCTACAGGCTTAGAAGACAGAAGAGGACATTCTAAGCCAAGGGAACAGTCTGAGCAGACATAGTGCCTTAAGGCAGTTCAAGGTTTGTGCAGAAAACAGCAAGAGGCTGGCTGAGGTGGGGGGAGACAAAAGGTGCCTATGGGGCGCCTGGGTGGATCAGTCGGTTAACTGTCAGACTTCAGCTCAAGTCCTGATTTCGAAGTTCACTAGCTCGAGCCCCCCGTCAGGCTCTGTGCTGACTGCTCAGAGCCTGGAACCTGCTTCAGATTCTGTGTCTCCCTCTCTCTCTCTGACCCTCCCCTGCTTGTGTGCTCTCTCGCTCTCTCTCTCTGTCTCTCAAAAATAAACAAAAACATTAAAAAATATATTTTAGGTTACCTAAAGAATGATGCTGTGGACTAATTCATAGCTAGAAAGCTGTTGGCAACCAGCGCAGAGAGCTATGGTGCCAGCAGAAAGGGATCTGTGGGTAATAGAAGCCACTGGAAATTTTAGGGGAGGGGACATGGTTGGGCTGAGTTTTTGGCAGAGCGCTCAGGCAATTATACGGGGCTAGGGCAAATAGCCAGGGAGGTATTACTGTGGGAAGTATTACAGAACAGAACTGAATTGTGTGCAAGCATCTTTTTGAAATTGTGAATACAGGCGGGCAGCAAACAAAGACATAATGACAGAGAAACAAGAAGTCCTTGGGGTGCCTGGGTGGCTCAGTAGGTTAAGTGTCTGACTTTGGCTCAGGTCATGATCTCGCAGTTTTGGGGTTTGAGCCCCACATCTGGCTCTGTGCTGACAGCCGGCTCAGAGCCTGAAGCCTGTTCAGATTCTGTGTCTCCCTCTCTCTCTCTGACCCTCCCCTGCTCATGCTGCCTCTCTCTCTTTCAGAAATAAATAAAACATTCTTAAAAATTAAAAAAAAAAAGAAGTCCTTAGTCTGCTTTGTGATAAGGCACCTGCTTCTATTTACCAATGTCTTGGGGGTCAATAGCATCAGCACCAGACCTGGCTTCATGGCTTATGGGATTGACTCAAATAGTGGACAAGCCAGGGAAAGGGAGTCATGGATAAGCACCTGGAACGGAAATCAGAAGGCTGAGCTTGTAGTTGAGGCTAGCAGCTGGGTGACCGCAGGTAAATTGCTTTTCCTCTCAGGACCTTAGTGTCTCCGGTTGTAGAATGGGGCTATCCAAGGCCCATTCTAACCCTACACATGATTCTGTGAATGCCATGGCTTCTGGTTATGAGCCAGACACTGTCCTGACTGCTTTTGTACACGTGGAAGCCCATTTCTGTCTCACAACAATGCTTTGAGGTAGGTATTTGGTATTGACTGAATGTTTGTGTCCCCCTAAAACTCTTAGGTTGAAATCCTAACCCAAGATGTGATTGTATTAGGAGGCGGGGCCTTTGGGGGATGATTAGGTCTTGAGGGTGGAGCCCTCATGAATGGGATTGGTTCCCCTGCTAAAAGAAACTCCAGGCATGTCCGGGTGGCTCAGTCGGTTAAGCGTCTGACTTCAGCTCAGGTCATGATCTCATGGCTTCTGAGTTCGAGCCCTGCATCAGGCTCTGTGCTGAGAGCTCGGAGCTCGGAGCCTGCTTTGGATTCTATGTCTCCCTCTCTCTCTGCCCCACCTCCACTTGAACTCTGTCTCTCAAAAATGAATAAACATTTTTTTTTAATTGTAATAAAAAAAAAAAACCCTCCAGAATGCTAGCACACGCCTTCCACCGTGTGAGGACACAGAGAGAAGACGGCCATCTGTGAATAGGGGATGGGTTTTCACCAGACACTGAATCTGCTGTCACCATGATTTTGGACTTGCCAGTCTCCAGAACTGGGAGAAGTACATTCCTGTTGTTTAGAGGACCCCCCGGGTTACGACATTTTGTTACAGCACCCCAGGCTCAGGCAGTACTAGTATCACTCGCATTGTGAGGATAAGAAAAGGGATGTGCAGAGACGTAAGAAGAAGAGGTAACCCAAGCAATGTGGCTTCAGAGCCCGCGCTTCTAGCCATATATGCAGCCATTGCATACAACACGGCGACACAGCCAGCCCTGGGGAAGCCACGAGAATGCCTCTGTGCAAGTGCCTGGGAGCCAAGCTTGAGGGCCAGCAGTCCGTGTCCTTCCTCCCAGGGCCTGGACCACTCCGACACACAGTGCTGCTTGAACAATGGGCAGAGGGTTGCAGCATGGGTGGTGGGAGCCCATAGACAGAGGCGGTGGGGTCGTGCGCTCCGTCACACAAGAAATGTCACCCCTGGACCCACATCCCACTGGAGCTGCCGGGGGGTGAGCTAATATGGCATGAATCATGTCCCCTTTACCAAAGCCCTGCTTTCAATTGCTGGAGTCTCGTGCTTCACGTGTCCCAAATGTTGGAATTCCTAGAGCCCTAGTTAAAGAAGGCAGTGTCCATCCAGAGGATGTCAACCATCCCTCCAGGTAAAAATAGATCCCGCTGGATGCTGTATGCATCATTAATCATCTGGGAGCGCGGACCCCGCTTTATATAGAGATTCACAGTATGCGAGGCATCTTTATAAAAATGATGTTGTTTGATGCTCAGTAACAACCCTGCAAGACAGCTTAGGATAGATGATACGTGATGCTCATTTTGTCAAAGAGGAAACTAAGGCTGAGAGAGATTAACTGGCTGGAGTGAAAGGTAACCGGCTGCCAAACGTCAGGGGAACTGAAACCCCACCCTTCGGTCCTCCAATCCAGCACTCTTCCCTTTACACCGGAGCATCCCAGCGCGAAACGAAAAGTCAATAGCATCTCTGGTTTTTAATAACATGCGACGAACAGCCAGACAAAGAAGTTCGATCGCCGTCATCGGGCCGCAGGCCTGGAGCAGCTCCCAGTGTGTCAGTGGGCCTTGTGTTCGGGAGGGAACCATTGCAGGTTGGCCGAGGAGGCCGAGAGAGGTGTGTCATGCGCACCACGAAAATAGAACCCGTACCCTTTGGGATTACCGTCACAGCCCGCACTTCTGTGTGTTCCTCAGTCGGATGGACAGCACTGAGGGGAAGTAGGGGTACAGGCTCCTGGATGGAGGTCTGGACCATAAGCCTTGAGGCCTGAGTTCAAGCCCCTGCTCTGGTACTTACAAATGTGATTGCAGCAAGTCACGGCCCTTCTCAGGGACTTACCTTCTTCATCTGTAAAATGGGACAAAACCCTGTGTCCCATCTGTCTGACAGGGCTGTCGCAGGAATCAGATGAGATCAGGGACATAAGGGAAGCATATTTGTCCCCTGAGGAAGGTGGATATGTGTCAGGGATCAATTCCCAGCCATTCAGAATCTTTCCCATTCCAGGGTCACTGCTGACCCTGGGAAAGTGACCGACCATCTGCAAGAAGCTAACCTTGGACCTCCTCCAGCTGCTGAGACCACCCACCGGGTCACCTGACTAACACTCTGTGACTTGGAGTCTTCCTGCTTAACCTCTCTGAAAATATTGTCAATAGACCAAAGATACATTGAATAGCTGGCTTCCTTTTGAGTGGCGGGGGGGGGTGGGGGGGGGTCACGGAGTCACCTTTACGGGGTGAGCGAGGGAACGGCTTGGCTGCCTAGCGGACTTAAGAGAATCAGCAGCCCTTGAATCCTGAGCCACCTTTCCACCCCTCCTCACTCAGTGTGTCTGGTCGATCTCTGACTTCTCCTCTAGCCCTAGAAGTCTCTAAATCTATGAAGCATGTCCACAGCTCCACCACTGTTGCCCATTCACCTTCCCTCTCTAAATGCCATCACCCCGTAGGCAAAAACCCAAACCACACTTACTGCCTGCAGCTTCAGCGTGCCGCTGTGCAGTTTGATTAGACAGTCCCTCTGAACCTGATGATCTCCTTGGAGGATGTCTGCCTCACTCAGTCAGTTGTAATGAGGTCATTGCTAGAACTGGTAGATCGCGTGGCTTTGGAATTCAAGCAAAGCACGGCAGACTTTCCACAAGAACCGTGTAAGCCTCTGGTGCCCTGGCTGGGGGGGGGGGGGGTTGGGGTCTGCTGCCCAGCTGATGTCAAGCTTCCCACCAGCAACCACCCTCCCCCCAAGATGCATCCATCACAACAAGGCTTGCTGGCAACTCACAACGTTCTCCCCACACACAGCACTCGGGCTCGTTCCTCCTTAGAAGTCCTTTCTATTTATCTTCTTGCAGAAGAAAAGGCAGAAGATTGAAGTTCATAAAATGCTTCTTCTGGTCTAGCCAGCCTTTAGTTTGTAGGAACTGGAAACAACTGAGAGTCTGTGTGTTAGTCAGCTGTTCTCAAAGTGTGTACTGTGGATCCCCGGGGTCACCAAGACACTTTCAGGGAAGCCATGAGTTCAGAATTGTTTTCATAACGGTACAAAGACGTTCATTGCCTTTCCTCTCTCCTTTGACATTTGCAGTGATAGTATAAAAGCAACAGTGAGTAAAACTGCTGGCCCCTTAACACAAATCAAGACAGCGACACTACACCGTAT